ATATACATAATAATATATTGATAACCGAAGACCAAACCCCTCCTCCCACTGATTCTGCAAGGGAAGGCTCAAAGTGCGGCAACGCACTTGTGACTCGTTAGTTGCAGGTGTCTATGGCTATTTACCATCAGGTGACCACTCTGCTTGTTTGCCCTCCTATGCCATAAAAAATACTTCAAATGTGGTGGAAAGCTTTACCGCGTCGCTTTAACAAGACTGTAAGAGGGTATATACAAAGGGTTATCTTACCTCTTTCGCCTCATCTATTTTTTTTCTTATTTATTTATAACTTGAACCACTTGACAGAGTAGGTTTACACAAAACTAGCTTTTGCCCGCGGTCCCACCCGTGTTTATGTCCGTTATCGCGGTAAAAATTGTAGTACTCACTAATAATGTAGCTATCCATTAGTGAGAGATTTTTTTAAATCGGATGGCAGTATTTAAAGAAACCACATTGATAATTACATTTTAAATGAACTAGGGAGTTTGTTTGTTTGATACGCTTTCACGCCTAAACCATCAACCCAATTTCAAAAATTCTTAAACCAATGGAAAGCTACGTTATCAGCGAATGAAATAAGCTACTTTTTACAGCGATAACAAACACACAGAGATGGAGCCGCGTGTATGTTCAGGGTCGCCTAAACTGTAACTCGAGACGACTGAAAGTCCGAATCAACTAACATTAAATCACTAAACCAAATCAATAGAACACACATAAATTTAAGTCGGAGCAATATTGGTGCTAATTCTGTTGTTCGAAAACTCTCTAAACTAAACTAAAAATCACTAAAAGTTTGTTTAGTTCTGTCAAACAACGTTTCCTATTCTGAAAATGTAATATTCGACAGGACAATTTTTTTTAAATGTGATTTTTAGTATAGTTTAGAGAGTTTTCGAACATTAGCACCATTGCTTTCAAAAGCGCCGACTTAAATTGCTATACTCAATAATTTCCCCAAGAAACCCGCTCAATGATCCAAGTTCCTGCTTCAGGTGGAACTAATTAAAACTGTTGAAAGTTCCAGAGCATTTCAAAGTCCGTAGTCTGTGGAGTAAGGTTCTTTTGCGAGTTTATTAGCTATGCTCTGGAAGTTGAGCGCACCTGCTAACCGGGACGGTGTTGGATTAAGACATTGTTTCTGTTTTTGGAGTCGATTCGAATACTTCTGGGTTGGTTTATGCAAATTCAGAATTTTATATTTTTATGGCGTTTAAAATACAAATTACTTTTATCCAGCACGGACAACAGTTTCTTTTTGTTTTTATACCAACAAACATGCAAACAAGCTTTGACAGCTTTGACTTTAAAAAGCACCCAAGCTTTCTTTTTCAAATTTATTAAAATTTGTTTTCTATTTTTTAGTTTGATTTTCTATAAAAAGCGTGTTTTTTAGTTTTTTTAAACTATTATTTTTATTTTTTATTTTAAATTAGTGTATTGTCATCGGTCTCGATGTATGTCCAAGTTTGAACGAATTCTGACCGTTTAAAGTCAGTCAAAATTACGCCCAAAGGAGTCGGTTAAAAACAAAAGCTAATAAAAAAGCGTGTATAAATCATTATTATTTACTGCAAACTCGGTCATAAATGGTCAGAGCAAAATAACAATATTGATATTTCTCTCCCACTTTTTGACTAGGTCACCTTGCTTTTTATTGTTAGCACTTATAATCAGACAGGGTTTATACTCCATCAAAATGAAAATAAAAACGTTATGCTAGCTAGCTAAGCTATAATTCAGAAATAGCAATACCGGACAACAGATAGCTTTATATTTCTCATTTTCATTTCTTTTCACTATATTTTGCGAGTACTTTAAAAACCACAAACTTTTTTATCGTACCGTAAAATTGTACGAAATATGTTAACAGAAAAATATATTTTTTGTGCCAAAGATTAATGATGAACAACAGTACAATAGTCGTATCCTAGAGTGGCGAAAATAGCCCGTATCGTCTATTCAGAAGCCTTCGTCTGGAATATATATAGTACCTTATATGTACATGTCTGTCTCGTTAAATTTTCAAGCTAGAATATTACTTACGCACTTAAAATGTCTGAGAAAAATATGTAGTCTCTAAGAACTAAGAAAAGGAATTCTAGAAAAAAGTTGTTTGTGCTTCACTTACAATACACTGTCCTGAATTGTGAAACTGCTGGTTACATAAAGGAGGTATATATTTCATCGTAAGGCATTACAAAAGAGGTTGATCACCGTAGACAAATCTCACAGCGGTCCAGGAGTGACGTCATACAATGAAAGGGTTGATTGATGCTGACGGCTGGATGGATCAGTTACCATCGATAAATGTACGTATTTAGTACATAAGTATGTTTAAAACAATAGGATCACGGTACATGGCCTGTCTAGTTTAGGACTAGCTGTGTGTGCGGCTATTATAAAACAACATCTATCCAGTTAGCGGTTTTTTGGTAAATTATGGGCGAATAGAACAAAGGCCTAAATAATATATTTTAGATAACATGATGGTAACAAATGGACTTAATGTTAGCTGTAGTAAGCATCCTGCCTTTGGAGCTTCATTGATTGACGCATCATGGAAACTCCCATCTATTAAAGAAAAATCTGAAGAAATCGTTGGCAGTGCCAATACTGTTAAACAATGTTTTGATATTTAGGAGCTTCTGCGTAATTTAGTAAATTGTTTTCTGATAAAATTTTATTTTAATAAGCTAATTTACTAATTTATTTATTTATTTAGCTAATTTATTTTTATGGGAGAGGCCTATGTATAGCAGTGGACTGCGATAGGCTGATGATGATGATGAAGCTAATTTAAAAAAAAACCACTAGGACTGCTCGAAAATGTACACATACTTAAAACCCACCTCCCAAGCCGAAATCCATTAGGCCTTTAGAGTACACTCGATAACCATAACATTGCTTCTAGCGTAGTCGATAAAAAGGGTGCAATTTAATTCAATTCAAATTAAACAGTCGAAATTAAACCAATAACTTTCAAAAGCGCCTACACTACCAAAACTGAGAACCTAGCTCGCTCGACACATTTACATTTCATGCAATTTCGTATGCAGCCTTTAAATATACAAAGCATGATAAATGGTTTTACTTTCTACATTTGAGTCACTGCAGTGTAAATTTTAACGTCATATGAAATGGATGATATTTACCTAACATCTGATGGACAACTCAGCACCGCGCGCCCTGTCTGGTTATATCCCTGCTACATATTTCCGTCCCTTTTCACTATCACTCACACAGATAGCAGAAAAGCGGAAAGAACGGTGTTCATCATCATCATCATCATCAGCCTATCGCAGTCCACTTCTGGACATAGGCCTCTCCCATTGCACGCCACTTAGAACGGTGTTACTCATCAAAAATCACCACCTTGTAGTATATTTACTTAATAATATTATTTTAAACCTCCTTTCTAAGGAGAGGCCTATGTCCAGCAATGGACTATTAAAGGCTGTTGATGTGATGTGATGTGAATATTATTTTCATTCAGTTATTGCAGTTAGAACGCTACAAATATTTGTATTTTAACGCTTAAGTTAACAAAATTTTTGAAAAGGTTCATACTCTAGCTGTAGATAGCGCAGTGGATAAGGTTCCATAGTTTCCTTGAATATTTCATTAAAATAACATGGCCTCAGACAAATTAAAACTATAAGAGTACAGCGATTAATAATGTAGAGCTTGAGTGTTATGCCAATCGGTATTAGGGACAGTATAGTACATAATACATGACACGTTTTCAAGCATTTTTGTACCTGTATATTAAAAACACAACCCTGATATTGTTGTCAACATGTTTCTCAAGACCCTTTTTCAGGAATGCGGGTAGGTATCAATTGAAATAACAATAAATACATAAATCCCAGTTAAGCTAAAAAATCAAGCATTTTATTTAACGTAATCAAAAGATACAACCATTTGGGTTTTAACATGTATAACGCTGTTAATATTTAAAACCATGAGTCACTGAGTTAAGTATGTTTTATCTCAAGAAAGATAATAACGCTGTATTTTTACGATTCGGGGACTAATTTAGTAGGGAATTGCATTTAGCAAAAACTGATAAAAAAGGACAATCAAATCTGGTACTGCCCGATCCCAAACCTCCTTAAGAATGTAATCGTTTCCTGACTGAACAAATTAAGGAGTTAAATTAAGCTGAGGAATATCGAAAAAAACGAGAGAATAGACGAGAACAGAAACACCAACTAGCCTATTGGCTCTCTACACATTAATCAATTTCAAATGTTTTGTGTTTATATCAATAACTAATAGAATTTGAAGTGTAACTTTCGATACCATGTTCATCATCATCATCAACAGCCTTTACTAGTCCATTGCTGGACATACGACTCTCCTCAGGTAGGATGTTTTGGCCTACTATACCACGATACCATGATAGGCCAACATTTATACTGAAACCCTGTAAAAACGGTTACAAAAACGTAAAATTTTAGAAACATTGGCTCTCTGCTCATCTATCCAAAAAATCCATGAACTTTAAGTATTCCAAGTTATAGATTTACCTCAACTTTTTACACTAGGGTCATATTTACAAAAAAGCTAAAGATTTAATTAAATTTAAAAGATAATTACTAATGTGAAACATAGGCATAATTAAATCGAATAAAAATGTGTATGTAACCCATGTGTAAAATGCATAATCGTCGAGTCATTTATCATCATGTTGAGTTTTGAATTCGTTATCAGTGACAGAAGTATCTGAAAACCACTTATAACGAGTCACAATTGCCAGAAAATAAACCAGCAATCTGATATAATTTGAGCCTATCTGTCATCATAAATTTCATTGTCAAACCAGACCTACATTACGGTAAGGGAAGCTTCAAAGCTAAGCAGGGAGGTCCACCTTAAATGTCAACTAGTCTATAGAATTCTGCACTTCTAAATGAAATTAAAAGATAAAAAATGTGCTCATACATTTGTTAATCATAATTATTCTTAATTAACATGGGTTACCAAAAATTTACCTTGTTCGCAAACATAGCCAGCTACTGTGATGCCCAGTCCGAGCGCAGAGTCCTTGTTCAGCTGGACATCGTAACTCAAAGTTTCCGGCTCTCCAGTGCCGCGTACTGCCATGTCGAGTGGTAACCTGTACATAATGTTTCATGGTTACTATATCTTAGTACAGCTGAGCTATCAAACGCGGCGCTTCTAGCTGTTGACACTTATATTAGTAGGAATAGTATTTTTTTTTTCGGTTGATTAGGGTATTCATCCAGAATAATAATATATACTAATAATATTCTACCACATTCACACAACGCTCTCTAGTCCCAAACTAAGCAGAGCTTGTACTATGGGTACTAGACAACTGATATAAGTATAAATATACTTTTTTTTTGTAAATACATACATATTATACATAGACAGTATAAATTATACATGTTAGATGCGATGTTTTGTGAGGATTATTATAGTATGTATGTATTTTTTCCGTGTGGTGACGGATCAAGAATACGGAGTGTCACCACTCCTATTCATTCCGTGGGTGTCGTCATAGTCGGCACTATTCAGGACAATAGGCCTGTAAAGAAGGGGAAAACTTGACATAAGCCCGACTTAAAACCCGTAACCCGTGTGCTATCACCTTCACTGTTTTTTCTGCATATCAATGACATAATGCAAACTAGTAGCATCCATTGCTATGCAGATGACAGTTCGGAAGATGCCCTTCACAGCGACCGCCCCGATAGTTCTCGGGAAAACATCATCGTGAGTCAAAAGAAACTTGTTTCTGAAATTGAAACTTCCTTAGGTTTTAGATTGGGGCCTAAATTTAGCTCACTCTAACTCAAAAAAAAACCGAGGTACGAGTCGAACTCGTGCGCCGAGGGTTCCGTACCTACCCAGATTTTACGTAGATTTTCGGAAAAAGTTGTAAGAACTAAAATTTATTTAATTTTCAACTTTTTTTGTTTTTTGGAATTATTCCTTTATTTGTGCTGTAAGACGTTTCTTTTTGGTAAATTTCGTGATTCTAGGTCAACGGGAACTACCAAATAGGTTTTCGACCCAAAACCTGTAGGGTACTTCCGGTTGACCTAGAATTGTCAATTTTGGTTAAAAGCAAGGTCTTGCAGCACAAGTAAAGAAAAAATTCTGAAAAATAAAAAAAGTTGAAAATTAAGGTAAATTTTGGTACTTACAAGTTTTCGCGAAAATCGAAATTTGCCAATATCTTTGTATCGTGTTGACTCAGGACCTTGATTTGTATACACCTAATAGGAACATAGACCTCAGCGTTTGGTATAAATTTCAATTTGCTAGGTCTACCGGTTCCTGAGAAAATCGGCGGTGACACACGGACAGACGGACAAGAAAGTGATCTTATAAGGGTTCCTTTTTTACCCTTTGAGGTACGGAACCCTAAAAAGGTTCGTTGCTTGCGCGTTCACCGCTAAGAAGATATTATTTGTATACACGGATGAAATTAATAACTGGGATAGATTCTGCCGTGTCGCTTAGCAGTTTCATGCATGGATGACGCAGTACGCCAATGTCTGAATATACTCTTTGTGTGATATACAAAGTGTAGTTGAGTCCGAGTGTTCTTTGAGTCCGTTTCATGTATGTTCAAAAAGGCCGCCGCGACACCGGATACATTCCTAGTCAGGGTGCTTTATATTTAAAAAATGCATAATGGAAAGCTTTTTATCACTTTTAGTGTTACATTTCAACAGATTATTTAAAATAATCTATTTAACAGTTCCATTTCTCAGCGAGCGACGACTATCTCAGAATAACTCGCGATCGCAAAACTTAAATCAGGGAAGTTATTTGTAAGTAGAAGTCTGGCAAAGTTCTGGTAACTCTTTACGGTTACTTGTATAAAATTCTGATACCTAAGTTATTTTATTCTATGTTTTATTCTTTATTTTAGAGCTTACTTGTTAAGAAAACCTACTATAAATTAATTATGAAAACATACAGTTACAGGTTAGTAATCATTTACAAATCTTATTGAGTTGTAAGTAAAATTACAATTTACTAGTAGTCAATTGAATATTGAGTTCGAAATATATATAGGGGAAAAATAGGATAACGCGTTACCGTTTTGAATGATTTTAGAAACATTTAACAATATCATAACACTAAATCTCTGTTGATGATTATGATTAAATAAACAGAAGAGAAAATGAAGTATTTTGGTTAATAAAAATAAAAAATAATAAAATAATAAAAATGTTTATTTCATCTCCACAAATTACATTTTGTTTTATATTTAACAGTTGACAGGAAAACTGTCAAGAAATTTGCAATTTGTGGGAGATCTGGAGTCTAAACTAAGCCGAGGCCTGTACTATAGATCTCCAGGCCCCCCATTACATAACACTTAGCAGATTTGTCAACATGTCAAAAGCGTACTAGAGTGTGTGAATGAGTAAACAGTAAAAAGATTTTGCATTAAAAATATATATACGAATGGTTGCGCTGTGAGGGCGTGTGTGTGTGTGTGTGTGTGTGTGTATGGGCGTCTGGTGTGTGGGTGTGTGTGTGTGTGTGTGTGTGTGTAGCGTGTGTGCGAGGATGGTTAGGACTTGTACTTTTTTTTTTTTTTTTTTTTTTTTTTTTTTTTTTTTTTTTGAGTATCAATTTTGCTTAAATTTTCGTCCGTGGTATGTAGATAGGTGTATAAATAATAAGCATAAATAAAAGTGTTATAAATTAAGTAATACCTATAGTGATATACAAAGTTTAATGTCAGGAGTGTAACATATGCATAAGTATACATATACAAACTCATACGTACACGTAATGAACATATCAATCTATATTCTTACATCTAAGATTTTTTCTGTTTCCGAGTAACTAAGCTTCAGTAACCATTTTTGAATTATATTTTTGCATTCGGTTTTACAAGAGTTGGACAAGGGAATTATTTTGTTTACTTTGTTATATAGCATACCTCCTCGGTATGATAAAAACCTTTGTGCAAATGAGGTATTTACGGTAGTAGGCTCACATACTGCATAGTTTCTTCTAGTCTGAGCTATGTACTTTCTTCTGTCTTCCGACAAGTCAGTATGTTTATGAAGCACAGATAGCATTATATAAAGTTGGCGTACAGTGAGGACCTGTGCTTCGTCGTAAAGCTTAGAAGTTGGAAATAGCCGAGGTTTTGATAGGCTTACTTTCAGTATCATCCTTTGAGCTCTTTCGAGGGTTATCATTTTGGTTTTACAAGCTCCTCCCCAGGTAGTGATGCAGTAGGATAGTATAGACTGCACTAGGGCCTCGTATACCAACCTTACAGTCCGCTTGTCGGCTACGCCGCGTAGTGCTTTAAATATATATGTTAGTTTTCGTATTCTATTGGACAGTGTTTGTATGTGGTTTTCGAAATTTAAATTAGCGTCAACTTCGATTCCCAGGTACCTAACACATTTTGTAGGGGTAATTTTGGTGCATGTACAGTTTGGAGTAGGAGGAGAATTACATTTATGCACATATATATTTTTGGTAAGATCGGCTATTTCCCTTCGGTTTTGGATAGAGAACACAATGAATTTGGTCTTATCTTCATTTAAGGTAAGAGAGTGAACTATTAGCCAGTGACAAATCGTGTTAAATCCTTCCTGTGCAAGATTAAAAAGTTCATTCCATGAATCTGCGTAAAAGGTAAGAGCTGTGTCATCTGCATAAGCCGAGATGCGGCAGTTTTTAATGTTAAGTAAGCAGAGCTCATTGATATAGCAGATAAAGAGTGTTGGGCCGAGAATACTACCTTGCGGCACCCCAAATGCAATTGGCAATTCGTCACTAATGTTGTCACCGATTTTCACGCATTGGGTTCTATTATGTAGATAATTGGACAACAATGCCATTGGGATGCCTCTTATGCCATGAGCCTCCAGTGTCTCCACAAGGCAGGGGACAGAAACAGTGTCAAAGGCCTTTGCAAGGTCGAGAAATATAGTCAAGCATTTCTTTTTATTATCTAGTTTAGATACCAGAAAGTTGACAAGGTCAAGTACAGCATTGTTGGTTGAGCGGCCTAACCTAAACCCATATTGCGAGTTCGAAAGTAGATTGCCGTCTTCTAGGTATTTAATAAGCCGAGTGTTAATAATGCGCTCAAATAGCTTCGATAATGTAGTTAAGATTGCAATAGGTCTATAGTTACTAACACTGCACCTATCACCCGCCTTGTGTATAGGAAGCACTACAGCTCTTTTCAATGCATCCGGAAAAACCCCAGCCTCTAGACAGCGGTTTATCAAATCAGTTAGAACAGGTGTTATTGCATTGGATGTAATTTTATTTTTTATCTTTATCTATATATCTATCTATCTTTATCTATTTTTTACAGATTAACCTCGATTTGTGAGCTTAGTACTAGTTCGACCATTTCAAATCTTTTGTAGCGCACTTTTGCTTTAGGTATAATACACTGCTCAGACTTCTTCGAAGATAGTATATAATTATGCCTGTTGACCCGAGTCTTAAACCTCGGTACCGAATTAGTGCAAAATCATAGAATATATATTGCAGTTTCTTCTACTTTATACATATTATCGCACAGATGTTATGTATCTCTACAAGTTTTTCGATAGCCAGTATGCGAAGCACATCTCAATTTATTGTCAACTATATTTACAGATACATCACCTGAGAGGCTGCGGTTCTGGTTGTGGTGGTGGTACAATTAACGGTGGTGGACGCGGCGAAGGCGCTAAAGCTCCCCTAGGCACCACAGCTACGATCGATGCTACTGGCTGTATAGACAACAAACAAAAAACAAAACATTGTGTATTTAACAATAAAAATTAAGAAGTTAAGGCTAAGCAAGGGAAGCTAAAACGCACTCTTTCAATAGAAATCTGTTTACTAGGCCGTGCAGCGTCAATGCTGTAGTGTGAAATCCATTGCTTTGATTAAGTGATAATTTGAGGCATGTTTTGTCTTCACACGAAACATCTTCAGAAATAATTTGGCAATCCCCAATTTATACTTAAAAAGTTATAAATATCTTCCCTTCTCCTTCCCAGAATATTGTGCTTTAAGTCTAAACTCAGAACTTCAAAGTTGTTGTTTAAAGTATTACTATTATTAATATATATATATATATAATTTTTACTGCAGATATATACTATATATTGTATAAAATAGATAAAAAAAACTATTAACCTACTATGTCACATAATAATATAATTTATTTATCGATTACCAAATATTAGCAACTTTAACAATTGCCATAGACATTACGAATAACTTATTGATACGTTGCCCAAAGAAATAAATGTTTTAAGGATGTATGTAGATTTTCTAACTTTAGCTGTAAGTAGGTTAGTAGGAAATGTATTATATAACCGCTTGTCTAGAGTTCATCATCATCAGCCTAACCCACCTCACCCCAGCCTATACGCTGCTGGAGATAAGTCTCTCCCATTGCACGCCACTTAGATCGATTTTCGATTTGCTTGTCTAGAGTTACGCTTCAATTTTTCATGCCAGATGATTTAAATCTCTGGTAATTAGACTTTCAAGAACCTTTGTTGATAGTATACTTAGTCGACAGAGATGATTGCTTAAGTTCGGTTCGATCCCCACATGGAACAACACTGTGTGATCCACAAATTGTTGTTCTAAGTCTGGATGTTCTTTGTGTCCGTTTCATGTCTGTCTCTAAAGTCCCTCGCAAGGTATATTCCTAGTACGGGAGTTGTTTTAAAATAACCTTGAAATATAAATCTGAAAAATTACTTTGAAAAACTTACCCTATGATGAAGTCTTTCTTCAATAATAGTTGGTGGTGGTGACGGAGGTGAGGTATCCTCACACAGAGCTCCAAAGCCATCATGTCCAGCTTCTGACAAACGACGCTCGAGCTCTATTGGGTCAGCAAGCAGCCGCGATGGAATTATTGGAGCTGGTGAAGCACCCAGAGGCTGTGTAAGGACAAAAGGAGATTGAATTCGCAGATACAATTTTTAATACGTATGGTCTGGTTTAAAAATTTATAACTGACTAGTCTTTTTGTTCTTGGTCTACCTTTTCAAATCCGACTACTGCTATTATTCCACCAGTACACCAAAAAGTAACCCAGTATTACACACGCGTAGATATAAGTTTGAGGGCTTGGATTTCTCGGCAATAGCCAATTCAAGTTACAGGTATTATATGAGTGGGCAATTTGACGCGAAATGAATGTATAGTTAGGAAAATAGCTCTATGTAATAATTCCGTGATCAACTTTTAATTTAACTAGAAAGATATTGGAGTAAGTACCGGGGGGGGAACCATGCTTCTACACAAATGGGCCGGCTCGACCTGAGTGATAACACGGCCGACAGAAAACCGGTGTCAAAGGAATTGTTTTTTTTCTTTTCACCAACTGAGTGAGGGTAATTAGCTAAAGTTATTTGAATTTAGTGTAATGGACTAATAAAACATTATTATAGACGAAGATGTGTAAAAATTGTGCCTTTGAGGACTTAGTACACTTATATAGGTTTTCACACTTGTAATAAGTTAGCCTTCTAGTTTTGAGGAATAATTTTTAATCCCAAACTTTCACTACCTGATTTATTTGATTTCACTTTCTGTGTGTTTTGTTTTTCACTCTGTATGTGATTTCTTTTTATCCCTTAGAATGAGTTTGCTCATCTTCAATGATTTCATAAATTAAGATCAAATTTGGACCACGAGTACAATTTACGCAGTAATGTGTTAGACCTATCACAACTTTACTGAGCAGCCACAAAAAGGAAACTCATTTACCTATTCCAAAGCTCTTGGAAGCTCTCGTCAAAAGCAGGCGGAACTTAATGAAGCCTATGAATCCTGTCTGACGTAATTACGTCACATCCGGCTCGCAACGGAAGCGGCGGCGCTCCGGTGATGAGACGGATGTGTCGTTAATGGCCCTCAACTTGTCAATTATAAGGCTGGCTGGCAAAGTCTGAATCGAGTAGAAAATTCAACGAGGTGCTTTAAAAGTTTGAGTTTTGACCAAGATTTTAAACTGCATTATTTAGATACCAGGGGAAATGTAGTTCCTTTTAGAACACCCAATACTCTGAGTAGTTTGAGTCTTAGCTAGAAATTTAAGCTCCATTGGAAAAAAAATATACGCCTTCATAAATAAAATAGTTCAGAATAAGAAATAGTTCACTAGTTATAACCCGTGACTTCAAATACTTACTGACCATGTAAAACCATGAACCATTTAGGAAATATTTCAATATTTTTTTAAAAAATTATATATTTTTTTCTGAATAAGTCTACTAACTTGGAAACACTGAACTATAATAGTAAATACAAAAAAAAACAAAGAAGGTAGTTCTGCAGTAGACCTAAGACAATATGCTGATCCTCCTTGAAATACTTTGTTTTGGTTTACCTTAAGCGAGTAACATGAAGAAAAATGCGAAAACTCTATTTATAAATTTTATATTCATCATCTCTTTATCCCTTTTTTTTCATCAATTCCTCGGGTCTAAACAAAATTTCACCAAAGTTTTTAAAACATTATCTTGTTGTTTACATATCTTCTCTTCCTTCTTCATTACTGGAAGAGAACTCATTTATGGATTAACCACCATGTGCGCACCATTTGTCCATTGTCTTCTTTTTTGTATCAAAAAAAAAAAAAAATCCTGAATAATACAATCTTAACGTTTAACAGCAAAAGCCGTCTCTAGTAACTTCCCAAATTGCAAAACCTTTGTGCAAAATTTCAAGTCTCTTGCGTAAAAGGCGAAGGATTTTCGTATGAAATTTTAAAAGCCCTTAGACCTTTATCTTGATCTTAAATTTCGTTCTAAATTGTCCTACTTATAATTTACATTTAATAGCGTCTTTCATTCCTGAAGGGGTAAACAGAGTCATGTTTAACGCCTACATTTTGCGGAATATTTTTTTATTATAATCATGTGTGTTCCCAACCGCAATATTTTCGCATTGTGAATGTGTGATGTGGTGATGTGATTAGCCTGTTCTATTTTGAAAGTAGGCCAAGACCAAACTCCTGATATTTCTATAACAGATCCCGGATCCCTCCTATTACAGGCGAAGAGTGGCGAAACCGTGTGGTTTTATTCGGTCCAATTCCACACTTACAAAAATAAAAAAGGCTAAGACCAAACCCTGGATATTTTACAAGGTTTTTGTTTTATCATGGAAGAGCTATGCTTTAGCACAAATGGGCCGACTCGACCGGAGTGATACCACGGTCACAGAAAACCGGTGTTAAGCATTATTATCGATGCTTTTTACCGATAAGTGAGGTTAGCGAAGCCAATTTTATGGTGAAACTGGGCACTCTAAGGGCGGCATCATGCCTATATCTCTGGAGTTGTATGTATTTCCTTAAACACATAGTGGTGCTAGTCACTTACCCTGAGATGACCCATTTGTTGTTTTGCCCCCTTTGCCATAAATAAACAGATACCAAATCCACGTCTCGTTATAGTCCTACTCCATAAACAAATAACACCACACGGCAAGTTCCTAAAATAACAAAACCAGTAGGTTTTAAATAAAACAATGTCAAAACATTAATAAAATAGTTAACATAAACGGTATGACACCAAAAATAGATGTGTTTTCGATAATAACTCATATATTTCAAACAAATGTTTTGTATACAAATGTAAGATGCTTGTTTATATACTTAGTGTCTGTTTTACGATCTGTTGAGATTGTGAATCAGGAATTTGAAATAACTTTTAGGTATTGTAATATTTATACTTATGGTTTGTTAAACTCATTTTGACCGGAGTCCGCAGATCAGTATAAAGCAGACAGTAGAGACAGACTTTTAAAAAACAGAAAAAAGGCCAGTTGTTTCCTTTAAGATGTCTCTGAAGATTATAAACCGATTAACACTTGAGAGAGAGAGCGTACTCCTTCCTAAAAGGCCGGCAACGCGTTTGTGACTCCTGAGTCGCAAACGTTCATGGGCGGCGATGGTCACTTTCCATCAGGTGATCCGTCTTCTCGTCTGCCCACTATATCATAAAAAAAGAGAACTATACCAGTCTCTATTTCCTTTCAAATTAATAGAATAAGATGGCGGATTTCCACAAACTATTAATAAGGATGAACAGATTCATTATCGTCAGCGAGAGAAACTTTAAATAAAATACACTTACATGTATTTTTTAAATGTGAGAAGTCGCAGAGAACTGTGGACTGAACGCAGTGGTTGTCTTTGTTCTTACCTCCTTATGTTTATTATGTAAAGCTTAAGGCGTAAGTTTTCACTATGAACACGTGGAAAGCAAATGCAAAAAGTACATAATAGAGTAAATATTATACCTACATGCTACTGTGGCGACTTAGCTATGAAAACTGTTTACAAACATGTTGTTCTGTGCCTTGTTACTACGTGTGTGATCTAATAGAGACACACAAAGTAACCATTAATCCTGTATCGCACAATGGAAGTTTTCATGCTGATTATTAAATATAACCGATGGGGTGTGACCCGTCAGACATAATCTCCTTGCCCGATCGGAAAATCCTTGCTTTGTGTAGAATAGACATACCTCCATATTTAATAATAAATAATGTTTGCACAGCTTTGTAAAAAGGTGACATAGATATCACGTCATAAATGCCAATATTTCCGTGTCAAAGTGAGAATAAAATAAATAAGACATTTTATTTATCTACAGATCGCTTTGACGCTTCTTTGTAACGTGACAAGGTATTGATAACCAATCTATTTACATACCTTCCAACAGAATTTATTTGAGAATATCGAGTTTTGTGCCATCTTGTATTTTCTGTTTTCGGAGACACGTCTTTTTCTATCGTAACTTGGTTTTGCGGTGCTCGTATGAAATTATTCAGAAAGGATTTGTATAATCTTATAAAAAGATTTGATTTTTATTCAGAGACAAGAATTCCTGTGACAATATATATTGTGTAGTATTTATAAAAGGTGTTTCCGAATAAAACATCGGTTGTTAGGTAAGCAGTTTAACTTATCATAGAATAACGAAGCTACTTCTTTGGAATATGGCTTAAATCCTAGTCTTATTCCGGCCGTCTGATCCACTACATATATTTTGTCAATACTAGCGACGACAATGACCGCGACGCGTGGTAATCGCTTCTATGTATTACGGAGGTTAAAAAGGTTAAAACAAGATTTGCAAGCTTCTTATTCGAAATTTCATCTTCTTCATCACCTCTGAAAATCAGGGTAGCACTTAGTCGCCTTTCTTTCATGGCGTAAATACAAGCTTACACATTGTACATATCCAGATAGGTATATATTGATAAAAATGTTGTTGTGTACGTTTCAATAACCCAATAGTTCTCCACCAAATGAGCTCAAATTGTGACACACACATATGTGTGTGTGTCACAATTTGAGCTCATTTTTTAAGCGGTTTGTATACATGTATTGTATGTATATGTATACATACAATACATGTATACAAACCGCTTAAAATTATTTTTTTTTGGGTTAGTTTTGTTCTTCTATTCTCATCAATGCTACCATAATGTGTCGCAGTGAAGTGAGACAGGGTATAGTTAGTACATTATAAATTATTTATGTATGTTTGTATGAATGTAATTTAGCAAATATGTATGTCTCTATGTATAAATATTTGTATATTTCCTTTGTGTGTATTTCCTTTTATTTTCCTAAAATCTAGTGGCCCTGTTACTTATTTATACACCGCTTTATATATCCTGGCAAAAAATACGTATAGCATTAAGTTTTCCATTGTACATAAATACATACAAACACTCATTTGGTGATGGATTAAGAATATGGAATGTCGCCCTTTTCATCCCGTGGGTGTCGTAAGAGCTGACCCAGGGACAGGGTGTTGTAAGGGAGCAAACTACGCAGGACAACAGCACTGCAAAAAATCTGGCAAGCGTGGTATAGTAGGCCGAAACCTCCAAATCAAATCAAATCAAATCCTTATTGCATAAGGAGGAGGAGATAATTGCTTTCTAAGGAGAGACCTATGTCCAGCAGTGGACTATTAAAGGCTGTTGATGTGACTCAGGTCTTTATCCTCGAAGGGCTAGACTGAAAAGCGTATTAAAGGCTAATGTTTTGCTTACTGTAATTTTAGTGTTATTTACGCAATAAGTGTCAATCCTATTGCCATCACACACACAAATATTTCTAGATATGTATTGTGTGTGTTAGTATCATTATCATTTATTGTATATGTATTATTAAGTAATGATTATTCTAATGTAATTAATCTAAGTACTCTGGGTATATGATATCTTGTTATGCTATATTTTTCTTAAAATCACATTTTAAATTTCTGTGCATCTACCATGTTTTATCTCTGTATCGCCCTAAGGTTGACTGGGAGAAAATGCATACGGCATTAAGTCAGCCTTTTTCACGTTTGTGCATAAAGTATAAATAAATATATACATACTAAAGATAAACACTCAGATCATGAGCATGGCACGACCTGTCGAATATCTTAGGTCACAAAGCCAGTCAGATGGAATGTCTAATGTGTCAAATAAAATTAATCTAAATAATAAAATTACGACCACTCCTTTATTAATTTGAAATCAACGACGGGCTAAATTCCTCAGTTCAAAGCTCTAGGTTTAAAAACAGCCCGAACATTCCCCTCGTAGCCCAATAAAGCTAGGTAATAAGTTTACGGTCTAATCGTTTCGATTGCACAAAGAATTCCTAACGATTACATCACGTATGTAGTTCGCGTTCAAAGGGGAATTGTATTTTCTTGAACCGCAAGTCGACAGCAGATCCTGATACTTCGAACATTAGCCTTTTAAAGGTATTATTGAAGTGATCACAGACAAATATTGTTTTGATAGAAAGAAAGAAAACATATTATACTCGTATATTATAAAAATACGACAGTTTTTACATAGAAAATTGACCATTTTTTACACGCAATGTAATTCTTATGTGTAATTTATCAAAAATATGTATATTAGGAAATAAGAGTCAGTCTGATTACCATAGTATAGGTTCTACCTAGTTTGGGATGAGATGACTATGTGTGGGATGTTTGAGTTTTTATTATTTTTACAAACGACAACAAGTTTTTAAGTCAAAATACAGGGTTTAATAAGCTTCCAAAGAACGGTGCCTGCTTTAATACAATTTATTATTTTATTATTTATTAATTTATAACTTTATGCACATTTGTACATGGGCGAACTTAATGCCCAAGGCATTCTCTCCCAGTCAACCTTTAGGTTGTGTAGAAACCGTGAGTGGTGGTGGATTAGTGTTATTACCTGTATACGCCATACAGGTAATAACACTAATCACTAAGATATACACTACACGACACAACACACGTAACTTTATACATAAACAAATACACACTATACACATACATACACACACATATACATATATATATAAATATATATATATATATATATATATATATATATATATATATTATAAATACACATACACACACAATATACGTTTTGCTGCTGCACTATCGATTCGATGATTCTGCCGCCTCATTAAGAAGAAAGCAATTTAGTAGTTGAAGGAAAACAAATTAACGTTTATTATAACGTAACAGTAGAAATTGAGATACACGACTGTTTCCTGGAAACTTTAACAGCGAACATTGCGGATGTTCAAACTACTGTGTAAACTACAAAAGCTTGTTCGAGAAGGAAATTGGTGTCGTCTATAGTTGGAAGTGATGCGTCTGGATGGAACTATTGTTCATGTTCTCGACTTTTATTTGTTTTTAGTCGCTAGGTTTGATTATAATCGTCTAAAAAAGTGCATAATCTAGTATGATCTTTAGAGCTTCAGAGTTTCTTGGGCTTACACCAATTAAGAGACATAAGTACAAATGTGCATAAAGTTATAAATAAATAAATAATAAAATAATAAATTATATTAAAGCAGGCACCGTTCTTTGGAAGCTTATTAAAATTGATTTATATCCGCTTGCCACAAGACTAGCCTTATGTTTGTTGTTTTCTATCGAATTATTTATTATGAGTAATTGTTTATCGTAATAATAAATACGGCCTTACAAAATTTGATTGAAGCTAGAACTGGGTAATCATTTACCTTTAATATGTAAATATATTTAGTATGTAAAAAAACATACAAGTAAAGTTATGTTTATTTAGAAATATACGTGCCCGTTTGACAGTAATGGGCTTGCCCCGGAATACACAATAGGGATTAAAATTAAAGGCGGCCAATTGTGGACGTTTAACACGATAACTGGGCTTGACTCTAGACCTTTGGGTTTAAAATACGTGAGTGTTTGTATGTATGGTAAAAAGTTAATGGTGCCTACAAACATCGAAGTTATCTCTCAAATAGTATATATAAACTGCAAACTCTGCAGGACAACAGAACTGCAAAAAGAAAACTTGAAACAAACCCTATACCAACCCGTCTGGCCAGCGTGGTATAGTACGTAGTAGTAGTCAAAACCTCTATTGTAAGGAGATACCTAGGTCCAGCAGTGGACTGTTAGGGGCTGACTATGATGCTGATAGCATATAAACACTTTTAGGAGTCTTGGGAAAAAACATCATTTTTCAGCAATGTTGTCTCTCTTGAGATATTTTTTTTCCTAAAGCTAAAATAATTCTGTAATCTATACATATAAAATGACTTGCCTTCACTGACAGACCGACACATCAACTTAGAGCTTAATGGGCACACAGTTGGTACAGAGTTGCCTTTTTTAAATTCAATCAAATTACATCTCATAAGCGTAAATATGTTCAAACTTTTCATATTTGTATGTTTGGGAGAATGTTTCTTTAAAAGTTCATACATAGCTTTACAGTTTCTTTCTTCTTTTACATGTACTTAAAGTTAATTGGAGCGACAGAGACTATGACAGTCCCGCCCCAATTAGGCAACGAGGTCGCGCATAGTGTTAAGTGACGTTTTAAATAGAAGCCTATGTTCAAAGCATGTGTGAAAATTAAAATGTGCCAGCGGTAGAGAGGTGTTTAAATTTTGTTTTACCGATAGATAGTTTACTCCTATTTACTTAATTACTTAACCAGAAACTTAATTAAGAATTAGCCGAATTAACGATAAGATTTTACATTTTCAAACCTTACAACATTCCTCTGAAACAAGTCAAATTGATAACAGTCGAATCCAGCTCCATTTAAATTTGATGACTTACTAGATTTTGCCCGCGGCTCCGCCTGCGTGAATGTCGGTTTTCGCAGTAAAAGCCTATGTCCTTCCTTAAGAATCAAACTATATCCATACAAAATTTCATCCAAATCGGTTTTGCTGTTATTGATCCCCCCTACAAATTTCAAACCCCCCTTTTTACCCCTTAAACGATGACTTCTTGAATAAAGACTATCTTATGTCCTTCCTCGGGCCTCAAACTATCTCTATAACAAATTTCATTTAAATAGGTTCAGCGGTTTAAGCGCGAAGAGGTAACAGACAGACAGACATTTAGTTTTTAACCTTAGACCCGAAACCTATGCAAGAAGGACATTAAAATTTCTGTATACACATAAAAAAAGATTTTTCCAATACGATATTTCTTAGATAATAGTTATAATCTTAGACGGCTTCTAGTACCCTTGAGTCCAGGAAACTACTTAACGGTCAGTAAGGATAAAATTTTCTACATACCTGCAGCGAAGCATCTGGTGCGCTGGAGGCAGGTCGCGCGACCAGGAGCCGGACGCAAGCGCCGCACTGCCGTAATACCGCCGCTGCCTGCCGAGCGCACATCCCGACCACCGAAACAGCCCCGATGCGCAGGAGCATATCTCCACTACGGAGTCGACCATCCTGAGAAAATCGAAAAATGTTACATAATTTTTCACAGAAAACCGGTGTTAAGCTATTCTTTCGTCACTTTTCACTGAGAGGGTAAGGTTACCGGAGTTCGGAGCTCACGAGCTTAAATCCCTACTTGTCCCAAAGCCTTATTCCTAAAAGAAAAAAACAATGTGCAATATTTTTCAGGGGTAATTACAGGAAAACTCTAGTTACTACAGCCTATTATAAAACTGCGTAACACATTGCGACGGAAACGTTGAGCTCTATTTCCGCAACCTCATAACGTCTTAAGAACTTTTGTACTCGGTGGAGATCTGGCTTCACACCCAACACCAAAGCGGAAAGATTTATTTTGCTTGACGAAGGCCTTGTCGGTCCCAAAACTTTCGGACAAAAATACACTTTTCTATTCTTTCCACGATTCGTTTATACTAGATAACTTATTTTTTTACTTATTTTTAAATTTAAATTGATTTGGTTACTATTTGACAAAACAGAGATTGTTGCTTTTGTGTGTGTTGATCTATGACTTTAGAGTCTACATGGATGACGATTTTCAAACAATTTTGGAAATTTTATGAAATAAAGAAAGTTTGAGTTTGGATTTAACATTAATTCTTATTCAACTAACCCTAAAAAATATTCGGATACTAAAGTATACAAAAGTACATAGATAAGTTATTGACACATTTTACAAGGTAGTTACACTCTAGGGTGCGCCGCGGCTAGCACGAACTTCAAATGTACCCTCACAAAGACTTTAATTAAAGAGTGAAACACGCTACCATGTAATCTAGTCGGGTGTGTAGTGCAAATAGACCATAAAATATATTGTAGTTATTGGGTTTTTGCTGGTGTTCAAATGGGACGATAAACCTAGTTTACTGTAACACAAATTATTTTTGTCTTTCACTTTTCACAAAGAAATTATCTTTATCAACAATGATAACTGTTGTGTAATTCTTAAATTCGTAAATTTAAGTAAGTTTTTATGAAAATCATTTTTGGAAAAATATAAAAATATAGCCAAAGTTCTAAATTCTACAAAAGATTTGTATTTAAAGTCTCATACGAATAGGTAATTATTATGATTCAAAGTCAACAATTCAAATTCTTAATTCCTGATAGAATAAATATTTATCGTCTTCCTAAATGCGTCCTTTGATAAAAAACTTTTTATCAAAGGAACGCATTGTTCCTCAAAATTCGAATGTTTCAACACTGTATGTATTTCAATTATAAATACGGCAGATTCACTCGTAGGAAAGTATCCGCTCCAATCCTAGTCCAGGCAGGCTACACGACCTCGGTCTCATCGTTTTGAATGTGAAAAGTGTTTTTTTTTATATTTTGTATTTCAAAATATATATTTTAAAAAGACCACTCCCTAAGATAATAATAATATCGCGACACAGGATAATTTACTTTAGAGACATTCATGAAACGGATACAAATAACACCCAGACTCAGAACTAACAATTTGTGGGCTCCCCACATGGGACAACATTTTGTGCGAACAAAATGTTGTCCCTTGTGGGGATCTCCATCCCACAGTTATATTTATTTTATTGTGTTTATTTTATTTATCTTTTTACAAATAAACCTGGTTTGAAATAGTTTCAGTCTAGCACAAATACATGCAACGTAATATTTACTAGAACATGGTTAAACGTCATATACGTCATGTTTTTGATATAGTTTGATTGCAGTATAGCTTAGTTTGTATGCAATATGTATAATACGACAAGGTAATAATTTAACTTAGCATAATTAATGTATGATCATAGTTAGCCTGTCTGACAATATGCATAATGACCAGCAGATTAAAGGAGTTATACAAAAACCTATTTGCGCAAAATATACCAAATATTCTACTGGAAGAGAAAAACTGAATCTGCAATAGAAAATAGAAAGACATTTTTTTTAAATTACCGAGTAGCGTAGGCCTCTTCAGCTGAGCAAAGGAATACTGTTTTAAGCTTAAAATGTATCGGCAGTGTATCTACACGATTTAAAACTATGCTCGCTACAATATAAAGTAATTGGTTCTTCAAATCTCAGATAATATTTTTTTGAACTAAATATTAATAACACACTTCGATAGAAATTATATCCAATGTTTTGAAGTTGCTTTTACTAAAATAATTATTGTGAAAAATTCACCCTCAGCAAAATTCACATAAATGTTCTACTTCAGTGTTTGTTTAATAATACTGTTTCCCCCGTCCGAGATGAGAAGCTTTACGTTCAATTAACAGAACCTAACACAAGCCTCATTTTAAGCACACCTGTACTGAAACAACCACATTCTGACATTAAACCCACTTCTTATCTAATGTCTAAGTCGGATAAGTTACTCTCGGTTTCCGCGGGGTAATCATTGGAGGATCGGGTTAACTTATTCAAAGCAATGTATTTGCGCCAAGCTTCTAGCATAACCTATATCTTGCAAAACGATTTACTGAATTGCACAACGACTTACACAAAAGAAAAGGAATATAAAATATCTGAAACGATTCATAAAAGTCTTGCATTTACACTTACGAGAAATTTGAAAATCTGAGGGAGATAATGAATATAAAAGTACATATGAAAGATAAAGAGAGCAGATATTTACAAAGATCATTAAACAGATGAGTGCTCGTTAAGATTTGGTTCCATTTTTACTGAAGACGATAAAATGTTATACATAAATATTCCACGATGATCTTGTCAAAGAAATATAAATAGAATTTTTCTTTATCTGGATGAATTCGTGGGATCTCAACACGTCCTAATTAGGGATATAAATGAGAGAATTTGTATTAATGAAACAAGATTCCTTGAGATGTTACAAAAATTATCACGCACGACGTGAGGCTCTTTTAGTATAATATATATTCCGTAAAAGAAATGTCTTGCCTGATAAAATAAAATAAAATTTCTCCGTTTACCTTGACGATATGATAATATTATTATGTTAGCACTATAACAAATATTAACATTGACGTTCGCTGCTGGATTACCATATTTATTAACTTTAGTCTCAAACACGTTTTGATGTAGCTTAAAAAGCGTGAATATGTGTTGGAACTCAATTTTTTACTACTACCAAACTACTACACTCTACTACTTAACTCAAAATATAAATTAAAAATACAGAATGTAACGCGATCAATATTATTGGTATTTTCAATTGTTTTATTTTATTATTAGTCAATTGTTTTTTTATTTAGCGTGGATGGATACTTCGAAAATCCGTGTCATTTCTTAATATGAGTTCCTCTCTCACTCTCCGAGTCAAACTACTCAGGAATTAGCAGCATGGTTAAACGTTACCCTACCTACAATATTGACTCCTTTGCATCAAATAAATAAGATAAAAAATATGAAAAATAAGTGCCGCATGATTGGACTAATCTGCAGAAAGAAATGCGTGTTGAAACTTGTTTTGCTTTGTTGAATCGGTACAGAAATGAAGGAATATTAGATCGAATTGTAGCATGTAACAAAAAGTGAATTGTTTACGATAACCGTAACCGACCCCAGGTTAAACTCCGCAACTAAAGCAAAGTTTACAAATAAAAAGGTAATGGAAACGCGTTGGTGGTCTCTTCATGGTCTTATTCACAATAGCTTACTCAGGTCTGGTCTTACAGCACAAGTAAACGTAAAATGCCGAAAAATAAAAAAAGTTAAAAATTTTGCTACTTACAAGTTTTCGCGAAAATCTAAAATTGCCCATATCTTTTTATCGTGTTGACTCAGGACTCAACTCAACTTGCTAGGTCCACCCGTTCCTGAGAATATCAGTGATGACACATGACAGACAGACGGACAAGAGAGTTATCTTACAAGGGTTCCTTTTATACCTTTTGAGGTACGGAACCCTAAAAACGAGTTTAAATTTTTCAATACAAATCGGCAATTTCATACTTTAACCCCTAATATTACATAACTTACGAGAAATTGAAATGGAAAATATTGAAACAAGCAGATTGATCACCTAATGGTAGGTGATTACCGCCACAAATGGATACCTGCCAATCAACTAGTCATTAGTGCGTTGTCACTCTTTGCCCCTCCCCAGACTCAGTGGGAGGAGGGGCCTTTTATCACTGTCAGGACCTCAGAACTCCGTCATCTAAGATCAAATTTGAAAAGGTTGACCAACCGTTTGATCCTATTCAAATCTAAAGAAAAAAAATTCACCCTTAAGAGTGAAAATTAAGAATCAAAGGATATACAATTCATCACGATGTAGGCGCGTTGAAGTAGGTGATACTTTTATAGAACTTATTATAACACGCATTTTATTACGTATAATAGTTCATTTATAATTTAAGCAAATCAAGGCGAAGTAAAATTGAGCTTTTGCATAAATATTTATGCTCAGCATTATATAAAATGTTTACTAAATCCAGATAACTTTCCTATTCTATTTCAAACAAGTTAACAGTCAATTACAAGATAGTTACTAAAGATCAGAGTAAAGTTGAGTCGCCTCAACTTTACTCAGATCTTTAGTAACTATCTATAGTATAATTGCAGGATCAACTTTGTCTCATTCTATCACTGTGTAATTTATGTTGTTTAACAGTTTGGGAGACTGAATTGATCTTGTCAATCAAAACTTTAATAAATCGTTTAGATATCTGGCATGTGATAGAATGTCTAAACTTAACGAAATTTTCACTTAAACCTGCTAAAACCGAAGTCACCTCCTCCTGGCTGGCCCTAAACCCGTCCCGTCCACCCGCGGTGGCATGAGGCGCTGGTAACCGCGTCTCCGTCGCCCGTTTCGTCGGTGGAGAATTGTGTCCGAGTGGAAATGATCCTCCCGAGCCCTCTCCGCCGCCTGCGACCGACTGTCACTACCGGCTATGACGCGTATGTACTAAGTGTAGGTACTTCCCGAAGCAGCCGTGCCCGGAAAGTATCTGCGTCAGTCGGAAGAAAAGGATCCCGTGCTAACGCCCTGCCCATTCAACGATGACCTGCTGGAGTGCCTCCACGGGGGCAAAACCAGCACGTGGAGCCTCCAGCCGGGACGACCAACGAGCCACCGTAGCTCGACGAGCAGCCTCACGCCACTCGCGTATTTCTTCTGGCGGGAGCCGACAGCTGCTAACCACCCGGAGCTCAGTCGTCCTTCGACACGATGCGGTAACCGTGTATGACTCTAACCGCCAATAACCTGTGAGGACGCCAGAGGCGCGCTCTATTCTGGGCGGTCAGAGCCGCGGCTATGGTAACAGCATAGGCTCTGTCTTGTTTGGGAACAGATGGCCGTGTGTGAGATAAGTAAAGTCAATATTATTATTACACCGTCAACTTTATTTGTGGGACACCGATACTAATAAAAACGTGTTCTTTAATCGAAAATGCAGTCCATAAAATAATTAACAGCATATTAATTATCAGCTTTTCATCTTTATGTGATTAAAAAACTTTAATATGGATTGACATGTCTGTACCCTCGTTTGCAATTCTTCGTTAAAAATGAAAATGAATGCACCGAACGTCACTGTGGTATTTCTTTAATAAAAATTAAACATCATGCAAGATTTCCATTTTAATCTAAAAATAAAACAGAGATAATCTTTCGTTTTTTTTAGAATAAAATTGTACTAAATGAATGATCTAAAAAGCCTTCTTAAATTTAAAGGAAGATGTCGTTTTGGAGTGAAGTTCCAAGTAACGGATGTGTCACTTCTTTTTCAAACCATATTCCTGTCAAATTAATACTATAGTAAACTAACACTGTAACTTACTCTATCAGCGACTCCTCCAGGCAGTACACTCTTAACCACGACCCCAGAAGATCTCCCCCCGACGATCCCAAATGCCAGTCCTGAGCCATCATTCACCAGCTCCACCACTTCCACTTGAGCCCACTCGCCAAACACCTGCTGTGAAATAACAATTTTAGTTAAATATCCGCCAACATTACTGAAAACACATGTATAGTCACATAGTATTTGAGTGATAATTCTCTCAAACAAGGCAGAGATCAGGCCATTTAAAGTTCCCGTCCTAGTAGCCACCATGACATTGACCTCTATTTCCTGAAAGGAGAAAAAAGTCCTGTTGCCATTTCGAGACCTGCCGCATTACCGTATCTCCTTTATCTTTTCTATTTCCTTTGTCTAGTCCTGATTCATCTGTGAGAGAGCCATGATTCGGCACAAATAGTCAAGCTTGAACGGAGTGATACCACGGCCTCACAGAAAACCAAATCTTAATAACTTTTTCTTTGCTTTTCATCGAGCCCCTGATTTAAGAGGTGGATTTCAAAAGTTCACTTGTAACTACTCTTGTTGATAGGTGTCAATGGACAGTGGTAGTCACTTACCATCAATTGACCGTCTGCTGGTTTGCCCCTATGCCATAAAAATTATCTTACATGAATGACTCCTTTATACTGAGTTACTACTATATGTACTTTGGTCACAGGCTAACTGCAAAAAGTCAAGAGAGTATCAATAAGTGATCTGACTTATATAGAAGATACTAAATACTTGAACGTAAAGCTAATGAACTATTTCTGCAAACAATGCCACGTGCCCAAGAATCTTTTATTCTATTTTTATTTAGGTTCCAAAAGTAAAAAGAATACAATGGAAATAACAATTAAGAGAAGTTACAATGAGATTTTTGTAAAAAAAAAGCCCTTTTAACCCTATTAAATGAAGAGTATTTAATTGCGTAAGGGTAAAGAAGTGGAACGCAATTGTCCCGGTGAATTCTTTTCCTTAATTCTTAATTAATTATAATTATATTTCTCACCATGATGCGCTTAATTCGCCTCTTGCTGCGAGGCGGGCGCGGGCAACTTTTTGATCAGCTGACCTTCTCCGCCATCTTGTGATTTCATTGACAGTTCTCACGGAAGTGGCCGAAGGATTCCGATGTAACTTCGGGTTCTGCGAATCGCACCGTTGCACTGCACATTATTTTGAATAGATAATTACTTCTAAAATTCCTTGAATTGTTTCGATTCGTTGTGGGTAGGACGCTGAAACAAAAAAAAACACATTATTTTTTTACATTCGTACAGGAACAGTAATGTTTAATCTTTTACATTTCATTTTGTAAATAATATGTACATCCATTGGAATTAACGCTATTACTCCTGAGAGGTCCTGTGGCCTGGTAAAATCATAAATTAATTTACAGTGAATCATCATCATTATCAACAGCCTTTACTAGTCCACTGTTGGACATAGGCCTCTCCTTAGAAAGGAGGTTTGTCACAGTGAATGCAGGTGAAATATTGAAAGTGAGGTTTATTACGATATGGGGGCAAACGGGCAGACGGGTGACCTGATGGAAAGTGTCCAGTATCGCCTATGAATCGGCAAGCCTTTGAGGAGAACTCAAAAAGTTTATATATTTTGAAGTGATATTTTTTTTTCAAATTTTGGTAAATATTGAATATGTGTGTTATCATCAGTGCCACAGCCACAAATGTTGTTTTAAAAAAAATTAATTGCCGAAGATGTACCTATAACATTTTAATAGTTCGCTAGAAATATGACCAATTAGAAATTATATCCTTTTAAGAAATGAGAAGAGATAAGAGAGATTTAAGAGATAAGAAATTTAATTTTCCAAGTCGATCCCGTTATCTTGAGTGATAGAGTACTATAACTATATATACTATAAACATTTAATAAGAAATCGAGAACTTTCTTTCTTTTTCTAAGTACCCACCCTTTCAATGGCAATAAAAACTAATACGTCTTTAATTGCCACATTATTAATTCAAATGTCAAAATTAAACCGTAAAGCCATAAATTTTCTAACACATTTGAAGAAATATCAAAATGTTTCAAACACAAGTGTATTCACTGCTATATGAACAATGTTTACACAATTAACAGAAACATTGTAACCTTAAAATTCCTCATATTCCTAAACAATTATTTTCAATTACTCGGTACAACTGTAAGTTAATTGAAAATTCCATAAAGCTAAAACGTTTCGCGTAAACAATCAACAACCGAAAACAGAATCAGGCCACGACACGTGCCCGAACCAGTATGTAATACTAACAACACGCCAGTTTATAAACTGTGACCGAAATATGTGGTGAAGAATAGGCAATGCTGCGCCTGTGACTTGGCAACACCGGGAGTAAACACAGCCAGTGTTTACTCCCGGTGTTGCGGAAAGGTATATAAAATTATTTTTCAGCGATCTTTCCAGAAGAAATGACGTGGAATGGTTTTATTTTCTGTGTTTTGTAATAATTAATAGTTTCTTTTTTCTAGTTTATGTGATTTAGTTGCACTCCGAGTATGTTACAGTGTTTTTAATTAATTTTCTTGAAGTATTTGGCGAGCGTTGTTTGCGGTGAATATATTTCAGTTTCGCATAAAAGAAAATAGATTTATGACCTGTTTCCAACGTGATTTGTGTTGCAATATTATATTTAACTGGTTTAAAATGCTCCTGACGTTATTACTTGTAACATTTTGGTCATAAAATATGGTGTAAGTATTACTGAAAACTAAAGCGGACAGTTTTAACTCTATAATCGGTATAAAACACTTTGTGCAGTGGGTGATTAGTAGTAACACTTGAAAATAAGTATTAATTTAATGTAATACTTTGTGGATACTTTGTTTTCCGAAATAAAAAACTTATTGTTATTATCAACAAAATTTTGTCGTATTATATGTGGGAGATCCATGCTTCGGCAGAAATAGACAGGCTCGACCGGTATGATACCACGACCTCACAGAAAACCGGTGTTAAGCAGTTTTGCCGTGGTTTTTACCGAGTGAGTGAGGTTACCGGAGCCTAAACCCCCTCTCCCTTTAAGTAGGGACTCAAAGGGCGACAATGCACTTGTAAGTCTCATGTGGCAAGTCTCCATGAGCGTCGATAGTCGCTAACCATCAGAGGGCCTGGCTGCTACGGTCCTTTCATTATCGCCACACCAATAAATCAGTTCTGACAGCTCTTTTTTGGTTCTAGTCACCAAAACCTGGAATAAATTGCCTGATTCCTAGTTTAAGAGCAGAGCGAACTGTTTTCTTTAAGAAAGTCGTGTACTACATCTTTCTTTTTAGTCACTTTCTATTAACTGATTTGAAAAACCAACGCGTATTTCATTAAAAAAAATTGTAATGTACTTTTGCAAGTATTTTTTTCTGGATCAATCAGATATATTTCAAATTCAAACTCAAAATAAAATAAAATTGCTTGAAATCGTCTCTTACGTAGACTCTAAAGTCATAGATCAAAACGCACAATAGCAACAATCTCTATTTTGTCAAATATTTCTATTCCTTTCTTCTATTTCTATCTTCAGCATATTTCGAACAATTCTTCACATATTTCAGAAACACAACCAGTCCTTCACATTACAAACATTTCGCTTTTAAATCTCTTGTTTATGACAACAGAGGTAGCAATAAAACGCAGCTATTGACCTCTGTTATAACTCATTATGCAATGTGAACCGACGCGCTATGGAGTCGAGATAATAACAGAGATGCATACAAAGCGGCAAGTGAGTACCTAAAGGTCGAAGGTGACTGTCGGCGCCGAGCTGACCTATTTATATTTTATCTGCATATACACATAGTATAAAGCAGGTGGGTAGTTAAGATTGAACGGTTTTAACTGAATATTTTTTATAATTCAGGAAGCAAAGAAGCAGACGGGTCCCCTGACGGTAAGTGGGAACCGCCGCCCATGGACTCCTGCAACTTGAGAGTCACGAGTACTTTGCCAGCCTTTCTGAGAAAGAGAATCAGGGGGCTTACGGTAATCTTACTCACTCGGTAAAACACAACGTAAAAATGCTTAGCATTGGTTTTCTGTGATACCGCGGTATCACTCTGGTGTATCTGGTTAATATTCGCCGAAGCATGGCTTTTTAAGGGACAAAAGCCAAAAATAGTTGGGAGCTAACTACGCAGGACAACAGCACTACAAAGAAAAGGAAAATTTGATACAAATGTATACCAACCTGCCTGGCCAGTGTGTTATAGTAGGCCAAAACCTCTTTTCTAAGGAGAGTCCTATGTTCAGCAGTGGACTATTAAAGGCTGTGATGTGATGTGATAGTTAATAGAAAGTATACCCCAGTTGTTCCCGAGACCATTTCCTATGTAAGACATAGTATATATCACATAGAGTATTTGGGGTTTCCACACGTACGAAAAGATTAAACGAAAAAGGACACGCGAATTTTCAGAGATCGGCTTACTAATTTTGCTTGTATGAGAAAAGAAACTAGTTAAAAGTCGACAAGCTTTCGACAAGCTTTGTCGAAATTATTATTGGCGTTTCATCGTTAAATAACAATTTTCCATAAAATATATCATCATTGAGAAAATACTTAATATTTTTTTAATTTGTCGCAGTGATGGTACTGTTAAAGTTTGTAATTAAACTGTTATAAAAGAACGTATAAAAGGCGATTAAATTTGTATATTTCTAGTTAAATGAATCTTTCAGAGACTGCATGAAACTCTTTCGGAATTTAATTATCCTGGAAGGATCTTTAGATTTTCCAGCTACCCAAATAAACCGTAATATTCCAACCAATTCGCACCTTGGCCTATTCACCTTTGCTCCATTTTAACCCCAAATCACACGACAAAACCAATGATATCTAAAGGTTTTATTTTCAAAAAAACTTTATTATCAATTTGCCAACTTACAATAATCAGCAACTTATGAAACTATACTAACGAGTTAGTCTGAATATAAAATAAAACTATAATGAACCCATTTAGGATTATAATGAGGTGTGTATGAACAAAATATTTTGACTACACTAACACTAGTTTTATTATTTGTTAATTATTTTGTTACACTTATCATTATCACTTCTTCTTGTTTATCACTTTATATTGCAGGCAACAGATCCCGCGGAAACAAGTGTTAGTGTATCAGTTTTGGTGACACGACGTAGCCAATTTTGAAGAAAACTTAGTGATAAGAATATTCGTATTTATCCCGTAACTCACAATACCTATTTAGCTCCTGTTCACCAGAGGGCATAGTGTGAGTTTATTTCCAATCAACTCGATCGTCGCGGTGATCTCTCTCATACAATTAAAACTACATACACTCGAAAAATGTAACTGTACTTCCGTCGCATTCGGTTAAAAGTATTTTAATCGATATAATCTTTGCATTTTCAGCAAACGCGCATAGCCACGCATGTCTAGACAAGATATATTTAGATCTTTATTTTTATAAAAGTCTTCTGACTATTTTGATTACCTCTTTTTTGTGTTTATACTGGAGTTTCCAGCAACTGACTGTGCAGCCTTAAGAAACTCAGTCAGGCTTATTTCATAATGATGTGACACTTCCTTTGTTAAGGGTAACGAGCAATTCATGTCACTGCCAAGCAGCCGTGTCGGCGTTTGCAATAGGAACATGCTCTTTTTTGAAGGTTTGACTATCATATCGGCTATAAAGTACCGTAGGCGACACTTTGTTTCACCGATTGCTTGCAGACACAATGCTTCTTCAAAGTTGCACAGTGGTGGAGTGCAAATTATCCAAATCATGGGATGGAGGTTTTACGTTGTGTAGAATGTTGGCGCTCAGGTGCAGCCGGTTTAAATGCTATTTTTATGTCTTATGTTTCGTATAAAATCATTTTACCAGACAAACATACTGGTTGTCTGATTCTGATAAATAGACTTCATGACAATTTTGACAATACTTTAGTAAAAATTTTGATACTTGTTTAGCGAAAAGCAACCTAACACTTGAGACATTAAAATTATTTAAAAAAAAATAATGTGTCATCAATA